TTAGAAAATATATATATATATATATATATATATACACACAATATATAATGCACTGTGAGCCAAATTAATCGGATAAAAAGGTCTCAAAAATTTCATTAGAATTTTGAATAGCTCGTATGAATCATATAAGCTATTAATTTACAACCAAAAACTGGAAACTGCAAACATTTTAAATAACAATTTTTTTTAATGTTTAGTTTTACATTGATGTGTAATAATAATATAATTTTGTTTGATTTTACCTGTAGATACAATTTATTTCCATCTACCAGCTAAAGATGATAAGACTTCAACCGTTTTTGGTGTTTCATGCTATCGTCAAATAAACACAGAGGTACAGTACAGTAGGATCTCATCAGGCATTCATTGTCTTGTAATGTATAAAACATATTGCTATGTTGAAACATCTCTAAGTAAGTAGTGATAATGCATTTTACTGTAATAGCTTTGTTTAGAATATAAAATACAGAAATGTAAGTATTGTATGCAATTGAAACTTATTTGATTGAAGTGATCACACTGTTTCTTTCGTTAACAGATTTTTAAACACAGCACATTACTGTATATTGTTCAGTAACGTTGATAAATAGGGGATATGAAAAGTTCTTGCATGTGCTAAGCCTATATGCCCTTTTTTCTCATTTTAGGATTTGATTTGCAAGACGGATGACATTACAAGAGGAACTGTTCAGAAATCAGTCTGTATACTGAGCAATTTGGTAACTAAATATTTCTATTATAATCTTCTCACACTTAAACATGGCCCAAGTATTATAAAAAAAAAAACACTTTTCCAAATAGCGTACTGAGTTTTATGACGTCATAATCTGGTCTGAAATAATTATTTGCTCATAATTTTGCATATGAATGGCAATTTTTAAAAACAACATTTTTTTGTAATGATCTGTGTATATGTATGTTATTTCCTTGTTATTCAGCCATCAGATTCAGTCTTTAGTGTACAAAGTTTTTAGTGAGCATATTATAATATGGTTATAAGAATGTGATAGACAATCATGTGATATATCACTGGGTGCTAAAAAAATGGCTTATTGAAAACAGTTTGTTTTCTTGTGCAATAATTTTGTAATTACTTTTACATATTTCAAGCCTGTTTATGGTTGGATCCAAGCCAAACTGCAGCTTATCACTCATGCATATTTCGAGGAAAAAGATTTCTCTCGGACCCAAATACTTAAAGTACGTGGCATGTATTTCTTCTTGAAATAATAACTGTGACATTGTTATGGGTATTTGCTCTTTAAAATGTCTCCTATGTTAAATGTGTTGTCATAATTTGTGCTTTGAAATGAAACAGTTGTCAGCATTCCGCTGAATTAATCAGGATGTGACTTTTAAGGTCTGTTCAGATTATCAAATTTTCTTTGACAAAAAAAACTGTTGTATGCCCATATATAGTCATAATGTGCCTATATATGGTCATGATGTGATGTCATCATGACAATATAGACATGTCACATATTTTTTCAAATAAAATTTGATACTAGTCTGTACAGGGCTTGTATAATTTTAGTTGGGTTAAGGATATTTTTTACTGAGAGTGTTTTGTAATTGATTGCAAGTAAGAATTGTTTAGGTTGAGATTATATGTTTTTTTTAATGATTATTGTTTGACGGAGTGAACCTTCACATTTTGCTATTTTATGAGCTATTATGAATTGAAGCCAGCAGGCACACACAACTCCTAATATGTAGACCAAATTTCAACAACAATCTGCTTTTAAAACATTCCTAATTCATATTATTGTTGACATAGTGAGAGTATTGTGAATTTAGAGTATTGTATTTCTTGTGTTTTGAATCTGATTTTTCTTGCTTTTTCTTTGGTTATTAAAAGGAATTTGAATGTTTGAACCAGCAAAATTACATTTAAACCCTTGTTGAATTTATGTTGTCTTTTTTAGGATTTGTATAAGAATCTGACATTATGTATTAGTAGCCATGAGTTGATTAGCAGTTCACAGATGTTGATTGGCTTGGATGCCAGAGAGCTTGTTTCAACATTCAAACACAAGGTAAAATTGGTGACATTCAAGTAAAATAAATGAATTCATGTTTGGTGTTTTTGTTTGCTTTGTAAATTGTAGTAATAATTATTGTAGTTTTAAATAACGGTGGACCACTGATTTATAATTATTATTCAACATTATTTTTGACTGATAGATACTAGTTCTCTTTAAACTGGTTCTTCTGGAGCGGAGAGTGCTCTTCTACACTTCACCTGTGCATAAACTCTGTGGCTCTCTATTGACATTGCTTTCACTTTTTCCAGGTGAGTGGTGGTTTGAGTAATTGTGTCTCATTGGTTTAAAGTAACTAGGGAATTTTATTTAGGTCCATAGACTTGTACAGGTTTTGGAACACTATTTGAGTGTTTTCCTTGACTTATATAGCATTATGGAAAACCAATTTGGCTATAGCAAAGTTATGGAAATATTTGGTTATGTTGTAAATAACTTTAAATGACATATAGTTCTGTTTTATTGTTTGATTTTGAATATTTTATTTTCTGAGAAAGATGATTTTGGAAATTTAAATTTTTGGGTCTGGAATGTTGAGAAGAAAATTATTAAAATGTTTTTGAATAGAAACCTTACTTTATTTTGGATACTTCAATTTTACAATTTTATTTTCTTTAAGCTCCAGTTAATATTAAGAGTGTTTTGTAATTTATTGCAAGTAAGAATTGTTTAGGTTGGGATTATGTGTTTTCTTTATGATTATTTTTTGACTGAGTGAGCATTAACATTTGGCTAAATGAGTTATTATGAATTGAAGCCAGCAGGCACACGCAACTCCTAATACGTAGACCAATTTTAACAACAATAAGAGCAAAAAGGAACTGCAAGTGGTCATGTTGCCACTACATGTGGTCATATTACATTTCAATGGACAACATACAATCTAATCAGAGTAAAAGTATGAGTAAAGGAAATGTTAATTGTTATGGTGAGAACGAAATGGAAAGGAATGCATGAGTATACTGCAGCATTTACATGTTTATAATATAAAATAATATTAAGAAATTATATTCAAAAACAATGAAAATGGTAAACACAAGAAACAAGAAGAACAAGTTTAATATTAATTCAACTCTTTGAAGGAATGCAAAGTTAAAGAATTTATTCAACTGCAAGTATCTGGGAGAAGGTTGCTCCACAGTTTAACTGTAGTTATTTGAATGTTTTTTCCCAAATTCATTTTTCCATTTTGATAAAACTAATGTATTTTTTTATTTGCTTCTTGCGTTTAGACTGTGATAATTTACCATTAGTTCATAGAAATTATTTAAGTACTTGGGAAAAAGATATAAAGACAGGCACAATTTACATAATGTTATCTTATCATTTATAGGTATGATCCAACATGGTTTAAAAGAGGCAGCTACATACAAGGACAGTGGCAACACTGCTTGTGATTTTGAACTCAGTGATTTCGGCATCAATGCTGAAGAGTACCTAACATTAAGTGAGTCTCATATCCCAAATTATTATTCACCAGACCCCAAGAAAGACTGTCACAAAGAATCACGCAAAGATGAAATGCAAAAATCTCAGGGTAATTCTCAGCAAGAAAATAATTCTAAATTAAAGAAGAATAAGGATGATTCTATTACGCGGCACAGAGATGAGCCTCAGAAGGCGGAAACAGAAATAATCACAGATGATAGAATTGAAAATGATAGCGGAATGTTCGAAAAGAGTACTCATTCAAATGCAAGTTTAAATAAACAAGAAACAAGTGAAAGTCATAGTAAGTTGGACATCAGACCAATTAATCATTCTAAAAACATTGGATCTGAAAGTGAAAGTGACTCAAATTCAATTCAAAGTAACAATGTCTCACTAGAAACTGAAAATACCAACAAAGACGGCAGCAAACAAACTAATGTGCAATTTTCGGACGATGATGAGCTGCTTAATATGATTGAGAATGAGCTCTATGGAATAACATTAAAACATTCGTCAACTCGAGAATCCAGAACAGCAGAGGAGAGCGACAAGGAAAAGGTCAGACACACATCCGATGGGGATGGGATGGAAATTGAAGCTGGATCCAGTCGATTCTATGCATATAACACATTGCACTACAAAGACAAAAATCAAAGCAAATCGGCAAATTCTGAAGTCAAAGCTGTGGAGAGTGAAAAGAGTGAGAAAACAATCTCATCAGAAGTTGGACGTCCAGTCAGTTCTACGAGTGATTTCATTGTTGTTAATCGTGAACCACCAATAGCCACACTTAATGTTGATGAACTTGGATTTCCACTTTCAATATTTGGCAAGGTATATTAGTTAACTCTCATTTCTGATTGGTAGATTTTTTTTAATGTTTAATTCGCTATGATTTGGTTTCAAATAGAACCAGCATAAACCAGTTTCGAAATTTTAAATACATCTTTAACTTCCTTTAACAATGTTTGAACTTGTAAAATATTTTACAAGAATTATCCTAGGTGGACGCTACTGGAACCCAGCAAACTGTCGCTGGGGTATCTGCATGTACACGGTTGTGCATTGAGTGCGCATTTCCCTTCCCTTTCATGTTCACAGTTTGTTTTTTGCCAATTTTTTTTTCCAATCTGACCTCAGGTCTGTATACTGTCAGTGCCTTGAGACGATTTTATTGCGGAAGGCGCTCTACAAATATCCTACCATTACCATAGGTACTGTATATCCATAGGTACTGTATATGAAATAGCTCAACTAAAAGAGTGAAATCTATTGTAACAAAATCAAATACAGGCCTCCCTCTAATTATAGACCCTCCAATTACAGACCACTTTTTCTGTGGTCCCAAATTAATTAAAGCCCCATTCCCGGCAAAATTTCAATTTTTAAGAAAAATCCAATTTTTGTATAATGTTATAAAGATTTATAAATATAATACGGAATTGCTAGTTTAAATGAATTTAGACATTCCTAAGAATGAAAAAAATGTAAAATAAGACTGAAATTTGATTTTTTGTGTTCCAC